GGGTGTGTGTCACTCGTGGATGTGGTAGGGTTGTAATCCAGCATGTTCGAGCCTGACCACCAGGTGTGCTGTCTCTGAGGCCTCCCCAGAGGTGCAAAGTCAGCCTCTGCCAGTGCCTTGCCCAGGGCCACTCAGCATGACCTACACCGCAAACCATAGTTGGCTGCTACTTGTGCTGGGCTTGGCGTTGTCCAGGAGAAGCCAAGCTGTGAACCAATGCAGGCTGCCACTAATGCCAGGCCTGAGGCCACTTATCAAGAGGTATGGGGCATGCTGCTGCTTGTTTGAGAGATTTTAGGAAAGTCCTAAGCATGAGGCTCGAGAGGCCACTTGCACAGAAAAGCCCCTGGAAATGGCCTGGATGAGCTGCAGGTGGGGAGGGGCGGGGCCTCCGGGANACTGGAAATGGCTTGGATGAGCTTGCAGGTAGGGAGGGGCTGGGCCTATGGGAATCACTGGGGCAGGGTGAAAGTTGTGAGTCAGGTGCTAGATATTCAGAGAAGGTGCCTGCCTGCCAGGTCTGGGTGAGGAGGGCTCGCTAAAGTAGCAATGGCCTCTGCCAGCTCTTCTCTCTGGGAGAACGCTGCCCCTCCACCTCTCACCCCAGCCTCAGGCAGGTTAGTTCCTCCCAAAGTGTCCCAGGTTCCTTTCAAGCTGCAGCCCGGCACTGAAGCTCAGAGGGAGCGTGTCTGAGTGAGTCCGTGCTCCGGCCCTTTAAGAAGAAAGTCTGGGACTCCTGCATCCTCCACATCCCTCAGAGACAGTTCCCGCTGGTTCTCACATCCTGAAGTTTTGGGGATTTCTCTTCCTGGCTCTGGAGTCCTGGGTTGGGGGCCTGCTCTGGGGCTAGGACCCCTCACTCCTCCGGGAAACCTCCACCACTGAAATGTCCCTCCCGGGTTTAAACCGCAGCACCGGGTTTAAATCCCAGCGTCCCTGGGATTCAGCCCCGATCCGCCCGCTTCTCCACCCCTCCTACGGGTATCACTGCTTCTTCAGTTACCTGGTTGTAGGGCTTCTGTTTAGCTAGATTTCAGGAGGCTCTGTGATGGTGGTTCTATATTTTAGTTGTAATTTTGATGTGGTTGCAGGAGGCAGCCGGTACAGCTGTTACCTACGCCACCATCTTGTTTCCTCCCTCAAAAGTATACTCTTTAAATTGTGTGTCATTTGTACTTCAGTTTATATGTCAGTTATAGTTTGATAGAGCTATTTTTAAAAAGTAAAGGAAGGAAGAAAAGCAAGTATCTTTTTCCATGTAATATAGCTTTATGTATCACTTTCCCTAATAGGTAGTTCATATGATCATATGATCGGTTTATCTACCCATTAAAAGAATGAGGGACCAAGGACTTAATCCCTATATTTGTTTATTAATTCATAACTATTCTTATATGATAAAGACAACTAATTTTATCTGATTTTAAAATTGCTCTCTTATTCTAGATTGTTCCCATAGAGTTTTAATATTCAGCAAATTGTATGATGCTGTTCATTCCTTCACTTGTAGTGTTTCCCATGGTCATTTGTCTAAGTTAATTTAATATGTAGTTTGTTTCAAACCACAGCTTAACTTTTTAATAGAATAAATGTAATATTAAAGTTACTTTTGCAATGTTAAAGTTAATGGTTTAAATTCAGGGGTAGGGAACCTTTTCTCTGCCAAGGGCCATTTGGATATTTATAACATCATTCACAGGCCATACAAAATTATCAACTTAAAAATTAGCTCTGAAAAAAACTCCTACATTTATTGAATTTCAAGCCCCGTCTGCAGTTACCTTGGCAGGGCCAGACCAAAGATTACAGCCTGTGGGCGAGGGGGGGTTCCCCATCTCTCGTTTAAATGATGTTTTTCACCATGGCCAGTGTGGCTTAGTGGTTGAGCATTGACCTATGAACCAGGAGGTCACAGTTCATTTCCCGGTCAGAGTACGTGCCTGGGTTGTGGGCTCCATCCCCAGTGGGGGTGCATGCAGGAGGCATTCAATTAGTGATCCTTTCTCATTATTGATGTTTCTATCTCTGCCTCTTCCTTCCTCTCTTTGAAACCAATAATAACATTTTTTTTTTTTTAATGTTTTTCATGACTTTCAAAAGTTTTGGTATTCTGCTTTTACACATTTATAATCCTCTTTCATTATTCTCTTTGGCTTCTTTGATTCATCTTTATTTCTTGTTTAAAATTGTTTTTATATTAGTCTGTTTTGGTAACTGTAAATGTTAAAGTGAATATAAAGAAGACTGAGTTTAGAAATAAATCATTACTGGGGATTCATTCAAGATGGAGGCATAGCTAAATGTTGTACTCAAATCCTCCTCCAAGTACATAGAAATTACAACTAAACTACAGAGCAACCATCATTCAGAACCGCCCGGAATCTAGCTGAATAGAAATCCTACAACTAAGGATATAAAGAAACCACATTGAGACTGGTAGGTGGGGCGGAGACTCAGAACAGGCTGTCCAAAACCCACATGTGGCAGATTAGAATCAGGAGAGAGATGTCTACTGTGGAAATCTCACCTGAGGAGCAAGGGGTTCCCAGTCTGATACCAGGTCCCCCAGTCCAGGGTTCTAGAGCCAGAAAGAGAAGTCCCCATAACTTCTGGCAGCAAAAACCAGTGGGGACTGTGGCTGAGCGAGAGAGGGGAGCAGAAGTCCCAGTCGTTCCTCTTAAAGGGCCCACCCACAGGCTTACTCTGACTTGGTCTGAGCTCCAGCACTGGGGCAGCAGCACGAAAGTCACCAGGGACATATGAGGAGGAACTGAATTGTCTGGCATCAGGACAAGACCTGGAGAGGCAGCTTTCTCCCCGACAGAATGCTGATAGAGGCCATTTTTCCTTTTCTTAGCCCTTCCCACACTGTGCAGGCAGAAGATGCCATATCTGAGCCTCATCAACCTAACGTTATTTACCCCACCGTGGTGATTCCCTGAGACCCCGTCCCACACAATTTGTGGGCCCACCCAAGCCCTTTTCAGTGTCCTTCTCATACAAATAGCCTGTCTTGGCTCATGCTTCAAACTTTCCTAAAATCTCTCAAACAAGCAGCATCTGGCCTCAGTGTGTTCCATACGTCTTGCTAAGTGGCTCCAGGCCCACCATTAGCAGCAGCCAGCCTTGGTTCATAGTTTTGCCTCTCCTGGGTACCTCCAAGCCCAGCATAAGTAGCAGCCATCTGAAGATTGCTTTGTAGCTCATGCCAGGTGGCCCCAGGAAGGGCACAGGTAGCACCTGACTGTGACCTGCTCTTCCTAGAAGACCCCAGAGCAAACACACCAGGTGTACAGCTTCAAACCATGTCAAAGCACCGCCCGACCACCTCCACAAGCAACACTCTCTGGGCACCAGAGCCCCACTGAACTAAGTCCTACTCCTTGGCATGGTCCCCTGCACAGCTGATCCTCCTCTGTGGTCACAGCCAGTCCTTGAAGCCAGTCAGCCTGGGGATAAATCCCTCCATTGAGGTGCCAACAGCAATCAAAATTCAGCTACAACAGGAAGGCATACACAGCCCACAGGAGGAGTGCACTGGAAGTGTCCAGCTAAGGTTATCAGGGAGGCTATGCCACTGGGCCTTAAAGGACACCTACTAAATAAGGCCATTCTACCAGGCCCAGGAGATGTAGCAGTTGTACCTAATACATAGAAACAAACACAGGGAGGCTGCCAAAATGAGACAAAGAAATATGTCCCAAATGAAAGAACAGGACAAAACTCCAGAAAAAGAACTAAATAAGCAATCTACCAGATGCAGAGTTCAAAACACTGGTTATAAGGATGCTCGATCTCAGTGAGAACTTCAACAGATAGGAAATATAAAAATGGAAATAGGAACCATAAAAAAGAACCAGTCAGAAGTGAAGAATACCTTAACTGAAATGACTAATATAGGGAATCAACAGTGGAGTAGATGAAGCAGAGGATCAGATAATATATTTGGAAGATAAGGAAGCAGAAAACACCCTATCAGAACACAAAAAGTAAAAAGAATCCACAAAAATGAGGATAGTATAAGGAACCTCTGGGACAACTTTGGCATACAAACATTCGCATCATGGTCATTCCAGAACGTGAAGAGAGAGATCAAGGAATTGAAAACCTATGTAAAAAAATAATGGCAGAAAACTTCCCTAACCTGGTGAAGGAAGTAGACATACAAGTCCAGGAAGTACAGAGAGTCCCAAACAAGATGAACCCAAAGAGGCCCACACCAAGAAACATCATTTATAAAATGGCAGGGGTTAAAGACAGAGAATCTTAAAAGCTGCAAGATCAAACATATAAATAATAAAATGACAATAAATAGACATCTATCAACAATTACTTTAAATGCAAATGGATTAAATGCTCCAAGCAAAAAGTATATGGAGGCTGAATGGATAGGAAAACAAGACCCTTACATATACTTTCTACAAGAGACTCAGATCTAAAGACACACACAGACTCAAAGTAAAGGATGGAAAAGATATTTCATGAAAAGAAACAATGGAAAAGCTGGGGCAGCAATACTTATACCAGACAAAATAGACTTTAAAACAAAGGCTGTATAACAAGAGACAAAGACAGACTCAGCAGTTCCACCTCTGGGTATTTAACCAAAGAAACAGAAAACACTAAATCGAAAAGATATATACATCCATATGTTTATTGCAGCATTATTTATAATAGCCTAGATATGGAAGCAACCTGTTTTCATCAATAGATATGTATTGATATGTATGCTTAAAAATATTTCTCATTTCAGATTAACTTTTAGAAATACATTTTTTTAAATGGCCACTAGAAATTCTCTAGGATGAATTACTCTTTGTGATTTTTGTGACTAAAAGTTTTGATTGAATAACAGCAAATGGAATAATTTAGAAGGGAAAAGTGCGTAATTAAAGTTTGAATTATATAGAAATGCTGTGAAATAGTTTGGTATAAACTCTATGTAATAAGGTAGAAGTAATTTTGGAATTCTAATATGCCTTGTTTTTCCCTTTCTGCAGAGTGTATATAAATGTGACTTCCTGAACTTGCAGCTTCAGCAACCTCTCCAGCTTGCACAGGATGCTATAGATGCCTTTTTGAAGCAGCTGAAAAACCCTATTGATTCTCTTCCTGGAGAACTTTTCCATGTGGTTGTTTTCTCTCTCCTTCTTTCTTATTTTCCGTCACCTTACCAGAGATGGATTTGCTGCAAGAAAGCACATGAACTGTTAGTGTTAAATGGTTTATTGCTTATCATCACACCTGATTCCTCCCATCAGAATCGTCATGCTATGATGATGAAAAGCTGGAAGATTGCTATAGAGTCCCTAGGCTTTAAACGTTTCAAGTATTCAAAATTTTCACATATGCATCTGATGGCATTTAGAAAAATATCCCTAAAAACTACAAGTGACTTGGTAAGTAGGAACTACCCTGGGATGTTATATATTCCTCAAGATTTCAACAGTATAGAAGATGAGGAATATGCTAACCCTTCCTGCTATGTTCGATCAGATATAGAAGATGAACAACTGGCATATGGTTTTTCAGAGCTCCCTGATGCTCCATACGATTCAGATTCTGGAGAAAGTCAAGCCAGCTCTGTTCCTTTCTATGAGCTAGAAGATCCCGTATTACTTTTAAGTTAATATAAAAACAAAAACCTTTTCAGTCCAGACTCCTAAACTAGTTACTTATGTTAAATCAGAAATACTAATGTGATACTTTAAACCTGATTTGCATATAAATGCAAAGGTTGACAGAGTTTGCTATTTTTTTCTACTTCTGGATTTTAAATTTTATTCTTACATAGAAATCGTAGTTTCATGCAGAGTGACTCCTGTCATAGCAGAAACCACTGTTACATTAGCATTTAGCACTCAGATATCATAGAAAGATACCTTTTTTCTTTAGTATTGTGAAAAATGAAGCATAATTTGCTATGTAGTTTTCTTTTTTTCATCTTTTCAGTGTTGACTTTAAACCATTGCAGTGAGAAACTTAAAGATATGTAGAAAGCTGTAGATTTCACTTTGATTGTTAACTAGTTAAATGTATCACAGAGATAGATTGATGTAGCTGTTTTATGATGCACTTGTTCTTTTTTCTAACTAAATTGTTACCTGTTACAGAAAGCCATTTTCTGTTGAGTTTTATCTGCTGATCTAATATTTCCTGAACTTTTTGGTATTGATGGTAATTTTTTCCTTGTTCTTGCTCATTTGGCAACATCAGACATTGGGGGAGAGATTTCCCCAAAAGTATGTATTGTAATTTGATTAGCACACTACAAAAACCACCATTGCCAAAGTAGAATTTTCATAACTTTCTTGTTGATTTGAACCTTGGTGTTAAATATATTTAACTGTGAGAGTTCACTTTTGCTTTTTTAACTTTAGATTCATTTATAAATTTTTCTATTTAAGTAAGGAACAATATAATACTCAATATTAACCTGAAACACCTTTGTGAAAGGGTTTGCACTTGTAAGATAGCTGCTAGTTTATCTAAACTAACTTTTCATAAAGGGTCCTCATCTTTCCATGAAGGAGGAGTGCTACACTACAAGTCTTAAATTATATAGAAAAAATGTAAAATTAACCCTCCTCTGGTAGTCTCATAAAATGGTTTTGAGCTTTTGGTATTCTTATTTCTATCTAAGTCCTAACTAAAATTTTCTTTGAAAATATAATTCATTAGTTGGCTGTGTTTCTGAATCAGAAGCAAATGGTTAAGCAGAAATATATGTTCAAACAAGGCAAGATTTATTTAAATAGTTAAGAATATTAAGTCCATGTTGTCTTATCAGCCAGAAATTGTCATGTAAATTATCATTTTTAAGAGTGCCACTGTGTGGATTTTTTTTCAAGTGGTTTTTACATTAAAATTACCTCATACTGAGGTTTTTGCACTGAAATATCAGTTTCAGATTTCATGGTTAATGTATGTGTGTGTTTGTACATGTGTGTGTATTTTTAAAATTTTTTTAAAAATATGTTTTTATTGACTTTTAGAGAGAGAGGAAGGGAGAGGGATAGAAAGATAGAAACATCATCGATCGCATGCCTTCTGCATACCCCCTACTGGGGATCGAGCCCAAAACCCAGGCATGTGCCCTGACTGGGAATCGAACTGTGACCTCTTGGATCCTAGGTTGATGCTCAACCACTGAGTCATGCCAGCTGGGCTGTGTGTATGTGTTTAAAGAAAATTTGTATTTTCAGTAGTTGATCCTAAATATCATAAACTGCACTTATTTACTCTGGTAAAACTGATGTTTTTGTGCTTATTGTGAATTGCTGTCGTTAATTTTGAATGCCAAACTTTACTTAAAAGTACAAAATGTATCTTTTAAGATATAAATGATTGAATGTGTGTACCTGATATTTTAAGTTAAATTTCACATTCTGAATTAATGAAAGTAATAAGATTGTAATTAACCTAAAAATGTCAGCTAACTAAATGTAATAAATATTGGTTGCTCAAATATGCCAGAAGTAACTTGAAATTTTTCCTTTACTTTCAGTAGCATAAGATTACTTAATAATTAAGATTGACTTTTCTTTCCAGTTAAGCACTGCAGGTCAAGTCTTGTAGCTCCCCTAAAAGATGAAAAAAACTGTTGTGTTCAGCATAACACAAAACTGTGTTTTAGTAATACTACTTTTACCATATTGTTTTCTTTGATTTGACTAAATACTGTCTTAAGGGCAAAGAAAAAATATACCAATTAAAGTGCTTTGAAAGTAAATGAAAACAGTGCTTTGAGAGCCTGGTGTAAGTGCTACCTTGAAATCAGCATTTGTATTACAGCTAAATGTTGGTGCTATAAATTCTTCTGGTTTTTTACAGATGTTGATTCTGCTTATGCTCTGAAGTATGCATGATGTATTTTAAGTAGTATTTTACAGAAAAATCTCTTTATAAAGCCTATACTCCCACTTAGTATAAATTTGTTTGAATTTATAAATATCATTGGTTACTGTAAAGCTTATTCAAATTAGGTTGCTACAAGATTTAAACTAATACATATTCTACCAAAGCCAATTCAACATGTAAGTGTTAAAATATAAGTATTTATCTGGCTTGGTGCCAGATTATATATGTAATGACAAGAAAAGTTAATAGAATCTTCTAATACTGTATTAGTGTGGGTACTCTTGAGAATGATTTCATTTGGATATAGAGAAGTTAAGGGTCCTCCTGATGCATTCACAACTGGATTCTCCAAAACAGTTTGGTGGTTCAAAAACAGATGGTCATTTGGTTGGATTCTTTGGGATCAGATGGTTTATATTATAGTTGCCAAGTGGTGAGAGGTGTCATACCTGAAAATGTTTGTGTTTGTAGTATTTTTTCAGATTTTGTGAACAATGCACATTTATTAAAAATTTTAAGTTTTCTAATATTCATTGTCCATTACTTGTAAACTGAAAGTTTTGTGTTTTTTTACCTATCTCATTAAGTGATTTCAAAATGGAGAAGCAATTTAGAACTTGAATGAACTTAAAATATTCTAGCTGTTTATCTAGTCATTGTATGTCAACCATATCATACTACACTTTCCTTGAAAGTTAATTTAATCAGAGATAATATTGGAAGTCAGCAAGTAACAATCATAGTTTCTAAATTGCCATGGGCCTTTTCACTAAGAACCCAAAAGATAACTTGTTTCCCAAAGTCAGGCATGAATGAAACATTCCCTGGAAATAAGGTAGATAGGTGATTGCTGGGAAGAAGAGAGGTAAGCAGGCCAAATCCATAGATACTGCCTGCAAGAAAAAAAGATACTCAGGAAACAGAAAGAGGGGCTAATGCCTTGACTATAATGGGAGCTTTATATTTTCTAACACAGTTGAAGCACTAGCACAGATTAAAGTACCAGAGTACAGGTTACTGTGAAAACAGTAGGGACCTGGGAATTTGAAAGTAATAAGATAATATTTTGATAGAGAGGAAAGGTGATGATCTGGAGCTGTTTAACCAGAATTATCAAGGTAAGAGGGACCCTATTAGCATGGAGAATGGAGCCAATTGGAATGAGGAGCTACAGAATAAGTGCTGGGATGTCACAAACCATCTCTTTAGTCTTTCTTGATTCCTTAATTGAGGATTACTTACTACATTACATTGGACTAGGTGCTATAAGGAATAAATACTGTGCTCTTCAGGGCTGACAATGTAACTTTTTTTAAAAACAGCATTAAAATGAAATAACAAAAACTTTAAAATTACATAACAGCATATTCTTGCATTGCAACAAATGGTGGTACTTATCAATGAAATCTGTTCACATGACCTTTTGGCACATTCTTCACAGCCAATCTAGATGCAGTTTACTTAAATATGGGTATCCTTCATGGAAGTGCCAAATGTAAATGATGTTGCTACTCCCTAACTCTCCCACATAAGTCCCCACTCTCTCCTACAGCTTCTATGTTGAAATCCCGGGGTGAGGAGAGACAAGCCTGTGCCCACCTTTGTACTAGCAAGCCCCTCTGCCTAGAATTTCTTCCTTTTATACTGGATCTGCGTGGCTAGTTTGTTATTCAGATATTAGCTTACATATTACCTCCTTAGGAGTGTAACTGAACAAAAAAATGGAGGTTCAGCTGCCTGCCGCAATGAAGGCCAAACTTGTGAGGCAGGTGCTGGTGCAAAAAGAAAGAGGTTTTATCCAGGTGCCGCACAACCTGGGAGAATGGTGAACTCCCATCTCAAAGACCATCTCCCTCCTTCCCAAAGACTATCTCCTCAAGCCAGCCGTTCCGATAGGGATAGGGAGGGGAGGGCTTTTTTTCTATCCAGTTATCTTGCTAGCTTTCAGCACATCCAGGCCCCTATCCATTCACATTTCTGATTTTTAGCATGCTCAGGCCCTATTTATTCATATTTCTAGCTTTTGGCATACTCCATGTAAGAACCTCCCCCTGCTGCCATCTTGGCCAATGGGGGAGACCCCAGTGCTCTGTCTATGGTAACAACTCCCTGCTTCAAAACTTTGGACCCTTGTAATCTTACCAAGGATAAATGGATGAAGGTCTCATCTGTAGTTTTTCCTGCTGTCAAAGGGCAGTCTTACCTATCCCCAGGTCCAGAGAATCTTACTGTCTACTAAAAGGAAAGGTGAGTCAAGAATGGAAGAAAGCCTTTACGTGAGGAAAGAGGATTGCTGTCTTCAGAAGGCAGCATGTGTGGTGTCTAGAGGATGGCAATGCTGAACAAGCGAAGCCGGTAGACTGCTTCATATTTCAAGAGCCGGTGTTGTCGATGGGCTTCCAAAGTAAGACCTATTGTGCAGACAAACATTCAAGTGTTTAGTGAAGGATATGCCTAGTAGTGCAGGAGAAATTGTAGTAAAATCAGAAACTGGAGAGACTAAAGGATCCTCATGATCTAATCCTGAGCAGGGCTTGGGGTGGCACACCCAAAAGCAAGATAAATTTGCCAAGGATTCCACTGTAACATTGTCACTTAGCTTTGGGAGACACTGTCCCTTTTTGAAAGAAGAATTTTAAATCTCCAGAAGTGTAGGTCCAGCCTTCTTTTCCAGTATCAACAGCAGCAGCGAGATCCGAGTCCTCAGGTGGTGCCCACCTTATCTGTGTGTGGTGGATCCAAGGCTTGATTCCCATCAGTTTTCAGGAAACGTGTGTTGTCAGCAGGATGTCATAAAGACCTGTCCGTTGCTCAGCTAACTGCTGTTCATGACCTTGAGTCTCCAGGTCCTTAGTAAAACTTGTTCTCCCAGCTGTAACGTCAGACGTTAGATGGGCCTACAATGACCAAACTTGTGCAAAATTGTGTTTGCCCTAGGTGATGGATATACTGTTTAAATTTTTTTTATTCATGTTCTAAATCTAAAGGAGGTATTCCTAAAAGAGAGACTTGGAAGGGTCTCCCATAAACTTTCAAAAGGGCTTAACTTAAGCTCTCTTTGGGGTGCTATCCTAATTCAGAACAAGGCAATGGGGAGTTCCTATTCCCATTTCAAATGTGTTTCCTGGCACATTTTTGCCAAGGTTGTCTTTATTGTGTGGTGCATTTTCTCAGTCTTCCACATAGATTGAGGTCTCTAAGATGTATGTAGTTTTTATTGAATATGTAGTACCTGTCCTATCCTTTTCTTCTGGGAGATTTCTGAAATAAATGATCCATTGTCACTTTGAATGCTGTAAGGAATTATTTCTTGGAGTAGAAGTTTCATTGTCTCAGTTGCCCTCTCAGTTCTGTTGGGGTATGATGGCCTCTCCCAATCCAGCAAAGGTGCCTATAAAACCTAATAAAAATTTAAAGTTTC